GTGCGTGCGTGAATGTATATATTTGTGTCTGTGTGAAAAATGTAATGTGAAAAATATTCTATACATACATGAAATATACAAAAAGATTTAGGTTAGAACACTGTGAAACAAGGACTGTATGGACATAAAAAGGAAAGATGTAAAAAGATAAAATGTGGCATGTGAAAAAATAAATTATATAAAATGAAAATATAAGAGCAGTGAAAAAATAGACAAGAAACCTGAAAGATATAAATATTTACAGTGTTGACTAATAGACTGTAAGCTCGTTTGAGCAGGGTCCTCTTCAACCTATTGTTCCTGTCAGTGGCGTACATACAACCCATGGGGCCCCGGTGCGAAAACTGATCCATGGGCCCCCCCCCCGCGCGCTTCCTCTGCATGGGCTGGGGCCGCAACACATTGCAGTGGGCACCTGGTCACAGGGCTGCGACCCCTGCGACCGCGGTATGTACACCAGTGCATGCAGATACACACACCCAGATCACATCAGCTCAATGAAGTGGTCTGGGTGCGTGGCCCCTCTAGTTTTTACCCTGCAGCTGAAAACATAGCAGTTTCCGATAAACTTTCACACACACACACACTCTAACACTAACACACACACACTAACACACACACCAACACACACACACACACACTCTAACACACACACTAACACACACACGCACTCACACACACTCACACACACACTAACACACACACTCTAACACACACACACTCTAACACACACACTCACGTTTAAAAAAAAAATTGAATCCCCCCAGCCTCCTTACCGTTGGGAGTGCTGAGGGGATTCCCTGGGGTCCAGTGGTGTCACCGGGCGGACAGGCAGGAAGTGTGTCTAACTCCGTGTGGGAGGAAGGGATTGTGAGAAATTGCTGGTGGTCTGGGATCTCAAGTAATGAGTATTGCTACTAAGGATTCCTCTTTAAAGGGACATTATAGCCACTAGAACTATGGCAGCTTAATGTAGTGGTTATGGTGTCTACAGCTTGCCTCTGCAGGTTTTGTTGTAATGTAAACACTGTTAACATTGCTGGTTAGTTAGACCTCCAGTGCCAGTCACTCAGACAACCACTAGAGATGCTTCCTGTGTCAGTGGTGCACAGTGTGCCTCATCTTCATTCAGTGTCTCCACACTCTGAATGGAGATGCTGAACATCCCCCAAAGAGTTCCACATGATCTCAAAGCCAGCCACAGTGAGTTTAACCCCTTAAGGACCAAACTTCTGGAATAAAAGGGAATCATGACATGTCACACATGTCATGTGTCCTTAAGGGGTTAAACACCTTTTTAAATGGATGCAAGGGTTGCAGAGGAACCTAAACAGTGTGTTTAACACTATTGTGTCAGAAATGTTTGTGTTTCTAACACTATAGTGTTCCTTTTAGGACCAGTTCTCTCTTTTTCCAACTTTGAGTCCCTTCTTTCTAAGAGCTCAGAATTATTGCCATATAGAAGAACATGACAGAGTTTCACAGCAATAAATTCACATGCATTTAAAATATAATAAAGGTGCTTGAATTAGTTGGTTTGTATAAATATATTTTTTCATCACAATTATTTTTACATAACATAAAAAGTGGAAAGCAGTAGGAGTGAAGACACTCATATTATCTAGAATATAATTCCCTCCTAATTGTACATACAACCATACCTTCCTACAACATAAATATGTGAGTGTGTGGGGCCCATGGTTGACAGTGTCACACGATGCCAAGGTATGAAATGGCAACACAGGGTCCTACGTGATGGCTAATGTCCACAACCTCTGTAAGCATGGACTTCACAGCTCCCTTCTGCAAGGCCACCAGAAAGAGAAGTTCAAGGAATGCAGAACAGCCATTTAATTTTTGTATCTGGGCCCAATCATAATTGTTGTTTTATTATATAACTACCAAGTTGTGACAGAGACTCTGTGCTATTTCTCACCTGCATTACCGTTAACGAAACCTCCAAGCAATAACGTGTAATTCTGAGACTCTTCCAGAATTTTAAAAGATGAGTATTTGGCATAATATTTGGTGCTCTCAAAGTCCACCAGATCAATACGCAGCTCCCTTGCCACTGATGAGTACAGAATTACATTTAGGTAAAGGAAACATACATTTAAACATAAGGAAAATAATTAACTTTGAAGATAAGGAAATGTCAGTAAATGATCATTTAAAAAAAGTATTTTTCAAACAGTAAAGTGACCTATGCAAAACTGAAAGTTTTCTTAATATTAATTTATGAATTCTAGGAAATATCATAAATAGAAACTCATGCTATTACCACAGCACTTCATTTCAAAAATATATATTCCGCAAACATCTGGAACTGTGGGAAGAGTGATAGATTCTTTAAGGAAAGTAGTTGAAAATAAAAGATCAAGATAAATACATGGAGCAAATGGAAACATAAGGAAAGCTTGAGAAAACGTAAGAAAAGTTTGAGAAAGCTGAGCTAATCAGTCAGTGGAAAAGGAAGGTCAAGCATGAATGAACATGGGGAAACAGGAAACATTGACAGCATGGAATTAAAAACAAGAGAAAGAAGCACATGCAGGGAACTTGCAAGAGAGCAAAAGAGGGGAAATATAATGGAAAAGATGAAAATAGTATGGAAGGAATGAGAGGGGTAAGGAGAGCAATAGGTAATTAGGAGAGAGAGAATGGAAAATATATAGAAAACAATGGAAAGAAGAAGAGAGAGCAGAGAAAAAAAATTGTGAAAAAGAGGGGGGGGGTGGCAATTGGCACTAAAGAACAACTTAGATTCACATAATATCATATAACGTAAGGTTTCCCAACTGTCCCTATTTCGGAAATAGTCCATATTTTAGGGCTCCTGTCCCACTGTCCTGATGGTTCCTTGGTGTTCCAAAAAGTAGAACACTAAGAGAGCATATTGTGAGTGCACAATTAGAGACACTCGCTCTTTGCTCAAGACACTAGGACCTTGCATAGAGCGTTGAAATAGTGCTTTCTGCCTTCAGTGGGCAAGCCTGGATAATCAGTAGGCAGTCTGGTGTCCATTCAATACCAGGCTTACATACCAATTCTTCGGGTTGGAGTCGTCCCCTTTCTAGGTAGGCCTGCCCCCATTTGGCAGCACTATTGACATAATTTTCATCACTGCCCCACCGTGTTTTGCACACTCCCCAACATTCCGCTTCATTAGTTTATAAATTACTGTTATTGTGACCATTTCCTCCGCCATGTTTTAGGAGATGTTTGTAACCGATTACCTGCGGAGGTTAACATGTGAATATTATCATTCCCCAACCAGAACTCATTCAGACGGCTTCCAAACCCATTCTTGTAGGATTTCCAATCACGGAAAAAATCCATTGATCCATCCCATCGTCTCTGGAAAACCTACATTAACAAGAGGGATTATTAGAACAATACATCTGTTTTTTTTTTTTATGCTGCACATAATATTAACATGACATTGACATGACAGACTCTAATAGAGTTATTTACTAAAGTGAGTATTCTCAGTTTAGTAAATAACCCGTTACTTTACAAAAATATTTAATTATGAGCAGGAAATGAGCAGGAAAAAAAAATACAAAAAAAGCAATAAAGGTTAGGCTCCCCAAATAAATCAATGGGACATTCTATGGCTTAAAGGACCACTATAGTGCCAGGAAAACATACTCGTTTTCCTGGCACTATAGGGCCCTGAGGGTGCCCCCACCCTCAGAGACCCCCTGCCGTCGGGCTGGATGGAGAGGAAGGGGTTACACTTACCTCTTTCTCCAGCGCCGGGCGGGGAGCTCTCCTCCTCCTCTCCTCCCTCTTCTCCTCCTCTTCGGCTGAATGCGCAAGATTTTCACAGTGAGACGCACGCAGGCACCTCTAGCGGCTGTCAATGAGACAGCTACTGGAGGCTGGATTAACCCATTTATAAACATACCAGTTTCTCTGAAACTGCTATGTTTATAAAAAAAAAGGGTTAATCCTAGATGGACCTGGCACCCAGACCACTTCATTAAGCTGAAGTGGTCTGGGTGCCTATAGTGGTCCTTTAAGATGTGAAAAATGCCAGGGATTTTTTTCAGATAATCCCTAAAACCAGAGACGGCCCAGCGATTGACAAATCCCTAAAAGAATAGTCAAATATGGGGTTTTCATTGACCCCATTAAAAAGGGGGCTGGATGAATAGTCCTCTCTTCTCCTCTCCCCATGTGCTAATTACCTATACCGCTTCCTCCACACTCTCAGGCCTCTGTGATAGAAGGTAATACATAAAAAGTGGTTATAGAACCAGAAATGCCAAGTCTCCTGGTCCCAATAATGAGGATCAGAGTGGTCTGGCCTTAATTAGTCTAACTCCACCCCCCCAATCTAATTGGAGACCAGAGGATGCATAAAAGGTTTGGGGGTTTGATTAATTCGATGTAGATATATTACTGGAGACATGGGCGTCCGCAGGGGGGGGCAAGAGGGGGCACTTGCCCGCCCCTGGATTTTTCAGCTTGTTCTGCTATTTTTCGTGTGATTGAAAATGAACTGCAATACCGGCGCCGGCCAGTAGGTGGCGCTGTGTATAGAGAGAGACAGGGATAGGAAGCTGCATCTTATCCCTGCTTCTCTCTGCTGATTGAAACCGCAGGGGAACAACACATGCAGCCAGAGACAGCCTACAGATCAGGGGAGTGAGGGATGGGGGGAGGGTTTGAGATAGCCTATAGATTTTTTTGGTGGGGCAGCAGCCTATAGATTAGGGAGTAAGGGGGGGCATCCTATAGATTAGGGGAGTAAGGGGGGGCAGCAGCCTATAGATTAGGGAGTGAGGCTGGGGGGGCAGCAGCCTATAGATTAGGAGAGTGAGGGGGGGCATCCTATAGATTAGGGGAGTGAGGCTGGGGGGCAGCAGCCTGTAGATTAGGGGAGTGAGGCATGGGGGGGCAGCCTATAGATTAGGGAAGTGAGCATAGGCGTGCGCAGCCTATTGCATTAGGGTGTGCACCCTAAAGCACAAACACACGCCATGTGTATATGTATGTATGTCTGTGTGTGTATATATATATATACATATATATATTATATATATATATATATATACACACACACACACACACACACACACATATATATATATATATATATATATATATATATATACACACACTGCTGTGTGTGTGTGAGGGTGCTGGTAGTGTGCTATGTGGGTGATGGTGTTTTTGTGTGTGTTTGTGAGAGTGCTGTTAGTGTGCTGTGTGTGAGGGTGCTGTTTGTGTGCTGTGTGTGAGGGAACTGGTAGTGTGCTGTGTGTGTGCATGTGTGAGAGGGTGTTTGTGTGTGCGTGTTTGTTCGGGTCCTGTTAGTGTGCTGTTTGTGTGCTGTGTGTGTGTGTGTTGTGTGTTTGTCAGGGTGCTGTTTGTGTGTGAGGGTGCTGTTTGTGTGTGGGTTTTGTGTGTTTGTGAGGATGCTGTTAGTGTGCTGGGTGTGTGTGGGTGCTGTGTGAGCGAGGGTGATGTATGTGTGTGGGTGCTGTTTGTGGGCTGTGTGTGCTGTGTGTAGGTGCTGTGTGTGTGTGCTGTATGTTTGGGTGGAGGTGGGGGCAGATAAGTTAATATCCCAGTCCTGCTGCCTTCCCTGGTGGTTCAGTGGAGAGTGAACTCTAGCCCGGGTTCTCTGCTGCCTCCCTCCATGCTGCTGTGGACCGGTGAGGTAGAACTTTGATCTCCCCATCGGCCCATGGAGGCTTAGACCGGAGCCGCCTGCCGGTCTCAATCCATTGGCCTGCCGCGGGGATTAGGGTGTACCCATGCACACCCGACACACCCCGTGCGCACGCCTATGGAAGTGAGGGATAGGGGAGACAGCCTACATGAAGAGTCAGCAAGGAGCAGGAAGGTAAAGTAAGAAAAGGAACAGAAATGAGCAGGAAGGGACATCAAGGAGCAGAAAGGGGCAGCAAGGAGCTGGAAGGGACAGCAAGGAGCACAAAAAGTAAAGTAGGAGAAGGAGCAGAAAGGAACAGAAATGAATAGGAAGGGTCAGCAAGGAGCTGGAAGGTAAAGCAGCACAAAGGTAAAGTAGAAGGAGCAGAAAGGGTCAGAAATGAGCTGGAAGGGGCAGAAGGAGCACAAAGGTAAAGGAGCATGAGCAGGAAGGGCCTGCAAGGAGCAGGAAGGAGCACAAAGGTAAAGGAGCAGAAAGAATCAAAAGGAGCACAAAGGTAAAGTAGGAGAAGGAGCACAAAGGGACAGCAAGGAGCACAAAGATAAAGTAGAAAAGGGAGCAGAAAGGGTCTGCAAGGAGCAGAAAGGGATCAGAATGAGAAAGAAGCAGAAGGGCGCAAAATAAGTAGAAAGTAGCAGAAAGGTAAAAGAGCAGAAGGGGCCAAGGATAGAAAACAGTGTCAGAAGATAAAAAAAGACTGTCAAATGAAGGAGAGGAAAAGGAGATTGGAGCAGGAAGGACAAATGAAGTGAACCCTCCACTTTATTCTGGACACCACATCATAAGGCTTTGGTACCTGGGCCAGGCAGGGAAACGCTGGACCTTCTCATCTCCAAAGGAAAAAAAATATCAGTATTAATGTGTTCACTTTTATTTACTGAGTGTCAGGAAGCACAGAGTGCCATTGGGTAGGGGTGTTGCTGATTGGCTAGAGCGGTCAGCTGGCACTCTAAGTCAATCAGTAGCTCCCCATTCATAAAAAAGTAAAAATATTTTATGAACCGGGAACTAGCGATTGGCTTAGAGCGTCAACTGTCCACTCTAGCCAATCAGCGGCACCCATGCCTGACGTCAATCTGCACTTCCTGCCACTCTGTTTCAGAAGCCAAATACCACTGAGCGACCTGGAGCTGTAGGAAGCCTTTGGGGTTAAACTATTTGAGAGTGATTTAACCCCTTAAAGGAAAGCGAGCACCCAGGGGCTTCCTGGCATCATAGCATTTTCATTTAGGTGAAGTTGTTATGGTGACCAGAATGGTCCTTTAATTTGCTTAAAGGAAGACTATAGTGTCAGGAATACAAACATATATTCCTGACACCATAGTTGTGAAAACGCTATTCACCCTGGCTTTATGTGATAATGGCTATGCCCCTTCCCTTTAATGACACTGTCAAAAAGGTACCAAGCATGGATGTCATTACAATTATGCCCCCCCTGGAAAAATTCCTGCGGACGCCCATGACTGGAGACTAAGAATATTTCTGCAGACCAGGTATTGCTTATAACTTACTATCCAGCCTCCGCCGTCAGTGTGCATGTCACACAACACTTTCAAAGGACTTTCGCCATCTGGGTAGATTGTGTACCAGTCACTGAGAAAGAACCCCTGATCCAACAGCTCCTTACAGTTCCTGGCAGCTGAGAGAGAGAGTAACATGAAATGGAAATTTAAAAAACAAAAACTGCAGGAGAATATCTTAAGAAATGTCTATTCACTTGTTGACTTTCTTCCTACATTGGTTAAGTGCACATTATAAGTTAATGTTCAATCACGTTGAGAGAGTCTATTTGATTGTCCATGTTGTCTCAACATTTATTTATTTATTTATAAAATATTTTACCAGGAAAGATACATTGAGATTTATCTCGTTTTCAAGTATGTCCTGGGTCCACAAAACATTGCATTGATACATATTGGTAGAATAAAATCCAAGTAGTATTGCAATGAACCAATGTGTCATGTTTGAATGTTTAAAGTGTTAAATAAAAGATTTAGGTCATTTTAATTCATTAATATCTTATTGTCACTGCAATGGCACCCATAGCCCTTGATATTAATGGGCAAAAACATCAGCAACTTTCTGTAGCACAATATCTTAAAAAAAAAAGAAAAATGTTTTACAAATAAGTTTATTGACATTTTACAAGTAAAGTACAGTAGAGCGTCGTTGGTATGAGAGAATGACTAATTAGCAGGCCCGGACAGGCCGTCGGGCATACCGGGCAAATGCCCTGTGGGCCGTGATGGCCATAGGCCGAGGCCGGCAGGGGAGATGCTGCCTGGGGAGGGAGAGAAGGACTCGGTGGAGCTCTAGGAACTGAAGGGTAGAGTTCACCACCAAGAGCACCAGGGACTGCAGCACAGCCCCCCTCCATGGCAGCACGGCTCCCCCTTCCCAGGCTAAAGGAAAGAGGGGGGGGGCGATTTTAATAAAAAATATTTAATATATTTACATCTCTCCCCCCCCACACACACAATCCCTCCAGACACACAGCACACTCACACTAACAGCACCCTCACACACACACACAGCCCCATCAGACACACTCACAGCATACTAACAGCACACTCACAGCACCCTCAGACACACACAGCACCCTCACACACACACACAGCACACCTACACACACAGCACACTCACACACACAGCACCCTCACACACACAGCGTACCCTCACACACACACAGCACCCTCACACACAGAGCACCCTCACACACACAACACCATCACACACAACACCCTCACACACAGCAACCTCACACTAACATCACACTTACCCAGACAGCACCCTCAAACACACAGCACTCTCCCACACACAGAGAGCACCTTAAGACACACACACACACATGTAATATATATAAAATAACCCTTAGTGAGTTAACAGACAAAGAAAATTAGAAACATAGAATGTGATGGCAGATGAGAACACCCTCACACACAAAGCACCCCCCTTACACACACACATGCTGCGCCCCTCACACATACAATAAGTTCAAACATATATATGTACATATATACTACAGCACCCCTCACACTGCAGCACTACACACATTACGCTCCAGACACACGCTAGATCCCTTACCCAACTCTGGATCATCTAATCTATACACACGCACATACACACACTAGATCCCTATATACACTCTGAATCCTACACACACACACACACACTCTGAGTCCTTTACACACTAGATCCCCTACACACATGCACACATTGCACCACCTACACACACTACATTCCTGACATACAAACTCTGGGTCCCCTATGCACTTAACTACATTCCTTGTAAGCAAACACATATTACATTCTCTAAACACACATTTTCTACAACCCCTACACACACACTACAGCCCGTATGCACACACTCGCTACATCCCCAATAAATACTATGCCCCCTATACACACACACACACACACACACTCTCTACAGCCCCTAGCCACACATATTACACCATACACACAAATGAAACCGACCTATTTACACAATACCACACCACAATAAGCTCACTCTACACACACGCAATCCCACAAGCAGGCTCCATACACATGCACCATACCCTTTCCTGGCCCTTTTGTCCTCTGGTATCCCACTTGTGGAGACACCAGAGTCAAGTTAAAAGCAAACTGAGCACAAGCATGTTATTCAATTTGCTTGCACTGCGCAGAACAAACACAAGGCCTTTTTCTCATGCTAGAGCTCTTCAGCAGGGCTCTGCTCATTGAACCAACATGCTCACTTTGAGAGGGGGCTTGGTTGTCATTAGTGATGAGAAAACACACTCTCTCTGGCCCCGCCCCCTTCTGAGGGGGCCGCTGTGATTGAAAAATGCCCGGGCCGAATTGTGCTCACAGTCCGGCCCTGCTAATTAACCATAACACAATGTGAGAGTAGGAGCTAAGGCTGGGTGAAAGAAGTAAAAAAAGTCTAAAAGAAAAACAGACAGGAAAAAAGCCAAGAAAGAGAAAAATGAAAAGCAGTGAGAGGAAAAGAAAAACAGAAACAAAACAAAATAAAACATAGAAAGCAGAAGCGCATGCCCTCCTCATGTGTCCTTTAATTGTGAGCCTCTCATAACCTTTGGGTAATACCAGTTAAAGGAGTAATATTGAAGGGTCAGAGGAAACCCTCTTGGGATGAAAGAAACTACTCTGGCAGGATTGCAGGTTCGAGTATTTTTGTGAAGTGTTCTGCCACATGCTCAGCACAGGTACCCCCAGCCCTTCAGGAATCTTGGGGCATCCGCAACAGATGTGTGCTTGTGGATAGTTCCTTGGCGGATCACAAACAAGGTTCTCCGTGTCCCCTACTTATAGGCCAGTCCAGAATCAGGCAGGTTGCTGGTCACCGACCGCAAGGATCTTCTCCATTGGAGCGTTGACCTGGTAAAGTCATGGAAA